CCTCCCTCATCCTCGCAGGAAACAGACAGTCCAGTAGCACCACCACCAAACCAATCACAACGCACAGCAAACCTGAAAATAATCACCAAACACAAAAAAAGAAGATTCTTCATTGGCATTGATGGTTCCATGAAGAGCACAACCATTGCACAAAAGGTTCTTTATAGTGGAAGAAGGTTCTTCAGATTACGTTCTTCACAAAATGGTTCTTTGAAGAACTGATCACTGAAAGGTTCTTTGGGGAATTTAAAAGTGGTTCTATGACATCACTGTGAAAACCACCTTCTGGAACTTTTATTTTTTTTAAATGTGGAATATTCCAACTCTTAAAATAAAGGTTCCAAAATGTTTTTTTTTTAAAGGGATCCAACAGAAGAACCATTTTGGGTTCCCGAAAGAACCTTGCCATGAACAGTTCTTAAAAGAACCATTTTACTTAGTGTGAAGAATGTTTTAATAATCTAAAGAACCTTTTTTCCAATATGAAGAATCTTCTGTGGAATTGAAAGCTTCCTTGGATGTTAAAGGTTCTTCATGGAACCTCAGATGCCAGTAAAGAACCTTTATTTTTCAAAGTATAAAAAAGTTCCTCAGACTGCAAATAAAAATGGTTCTTTAAAGACCTGTTTACCTAATATGGTTCGCCAAAAGTATTGGCACCACAGATTACATCTATGTCATTTTATATCGTATTTTCTTTGTTTTCCGAGTCAAAAACTTTTTTGAGAGTGGTGCGCTTTCCCATAAGAAGTATTTACCTGTAGCCAAAGCGATCCAGAAGGAATGGCTGTAATCTGTACTTAAGGACTCGGCACCTACACTGAAGTCACATGGGGTCACATTGAATATAGTTGAGAAGGAAGCCATGGAGAAGAAGATGAAAGCGGCCGTGGCTATCATCATGTACCCGGCGTAGAGGATGACAGGCATTGAGAAGAGGATATTGGCCACGAGCCAGCAGCAAAAAGCCGTCCTGTGGGAGAAAGCCATTCTGTACTTTAGCTTGTTTGCATTTGTTGAATAGAATGGAGTTTCTTTACACTACAGTAAGACATTGGTGGTGTCTATGTGTTGGTTTACCACAGATTGGCTGAGGCGAAGCGGCCTGAGTATCTGTACTGGTAGATGAGGCCGCAAGCGCTGTTGCGAGTGAACTTCTCTGCGATGTAAAGGATGGGGTTGGGAAGACCTCGCTCCAGCGCGTCGCCGTACTGCTCATCCACACTGCTCGACCACCTGAAGATCTCGTTGTAGTCAATGGTCTCATTTATCTGCGATACTGGTTCGCCTGTTGGAACGGATATTGAAAGAACCCATGAAACCTGAATTGGAGTCATAATCTTCTTGAAAAGTGGACCATAAATATTGACGACTCATATGGTTTACCTTTAAGTGTGATGTTTATGCCATACAGCCCCAC